ACTACTACACACACACACACACACACACACACACACACACACACACCCCTCCCCATTTCCACAGTAGAATGCTTCCTCAGTTTTAAAAGGCACCTGTACCCATGGCACTTGCTTCCAGGATGCTGAACATTCTCCTTTCCACATATGACATCAGGATCCCACTGTTCTGGAACCCGTATGCAGAGGCCCATACATGTTGCTGAGCTGACACAAAGCAAGGCAGTGTTAGCCCAGAATTTCCTGGCCTTGGAAAATGGGGCTCTGTCTCTGATTTAAATACCAGTTTAACATAGGTTCTTTTGTTCATTTTTTCAGCTGCAGAAGTTCTCAAGCATCAAAACATCAAAAGTCCAAAATAATCTGTATAGAACAGACACTATATAGGAGAATTAACACAAAGGAGAACCAGCTTAATACCACTGCAGGAAAGAATTCCATGCAGTTTTTCTGTTCCTCATCCAATGGGAAGAGCATGGATTGGGTTTTAGTGCCTCTCACACATGTATCTGATTCATAAATGTTCCCAAGGCAAGTCAGTGCCAACCACTAGGCTGCAGTGAAAAAGTTGATGGGAGGTGAGCATTGCACATTAAATCTATGTCCCTGCTAATGGAAGACAAGAAAGAAAGTTTTAAAAAACAAACACTGCTCTCCTGAATCAGTAAATCATCAGCACAAGAAGGGCAACAAGCTACAAAATCACATCAGTGCTAGAGATCATGTTTAAACGCTCAATGCAACAAAGTCACAGAAGTCTCACTACCAGTCTGCAGGATCTAACAAGCTAACACGCTGCATCTGCTTAGGAACTCAGAACTGAAAGTCAGTTCATTGAGTTTTGGGCTTCTTTGCACAAGGATCCCCTTCTTCCTTCTTCAGCCACTGGTGCATTAAGCCTGCACTGGTTCTCTTGGGTGCAGTGATTTGGATGAACTGGCTGGACCATCTGGGCAAATCATCTTCCTCTTTCTTGGGAGACTTGTTTTTCACCCAGTCCAACATCATTTTGCTGCTAGTGCTGACTTTGGTTTCCTGGGAGGACAAATTACAATAAGAAAAACAAGAACCGCAGAAATAGCTGGTCATATATTCAAGGCACATCGGAAAATGCCCACATGGGTACCAAGTCAATGAGCTGGGTCCAGTTTCAGAATGGGGAAGGTGCAGCAGCAGCATCACTCCCTACAGTTACACAGCCTTGCAGAAGGTCCCCATGGAAGTCCCAGTCAGATTAATCCTAAATGCCATTCAGGAAAGAATATACCATATTAAGCAGAGTGATCCTGAGACTTTACAACATGATTTATTTCTGGAAGAGCAGGAAAAGGAATGGGAATCCTTGAGGGGCCTTCACTGCAGTGACCCTCTCTCCAACTGGGGATGGATGGCTGCCTTTGGGAACATAAAAACAGCCATACTGGGTCAGACCAAAGGTCCATCTAGCCCAATATCCTGTCTTCCGACAGTGGCCAATGCCAGGTGCCCCAGAGGGAATGAACAGAACAGGTAATCACCAAGTGATCCATCCTGTCACCCATTCCCAGCTTCTAACGAACAGAGGCTAAGGACACCATCCCTATCCATCCTGGCTAATAGCCATTGATGGACCTATCCCCCATGAACTTATCTAGTTTTTTTTTTAACCCTGTTATAGACTTGGCCTTCACAACATCCTCTGACAAGGAGTTCCACAGGTTGACTGTGTGTTGTGTGGAAAAAATACTTCCTTTTGTTTGTTCTAAACTGCTGCCTGTTAATTTCATTTGGTGACCCCTAGTTCTTGTGTTATGAGAAGGAGTAAATAACACTCCCTGATTTGGGAGTTTCTCAGAGCCATCCTGAATCAGTTAGAAGGGGTAGCTCAAGCATCTTATATGGCATAATCTACCTCTCATCCTCAGGCGCTGAGTGAGCTGCCAGCCCCTAATGAACAGCTAACAAAACATGTGATTTATTCTCTTATATTCTATGGAGTGGCCTCCCCCCATTTGTTAAACTTTTGAGTATCTTGTTTTTATTGCATTTGTAGCCCATTTCACAACTTTGATGCATCATTTATCCAGTCATATAAGATGATAAATTTGCATGCCTAGGATCTGCAATCTGTATTTATATTTTACTTCAAACATTCTATTTTTCCTTTTATCGTTATTAACAAAAACAGCACCCCCCGAGCCTGCTGCCCCCTAAGCCCAGCACCCCAGGCGGTCACCTGAGTCACCTGCCCCTAAATCTGGCCCTCCATTTTCTCCTCTGCAAAAGGCACTTCCAGCCTGAACAATCTATGCATCTATGAAAATGGGTATAAATTATCTACCTCACAGGCAGGATTAATTCATTAATGTTTGGAAAGAGCAGCGGAACCCCCAGTTAGACAGAGGACAAAGTACAATTCTATTTATTATTATTAAACAGTATTATCGTAGGGAAGTCTGATTTGTGTCAACCATCAGATCTCACCGTCTTTGGTCCCAACCCAATGGGAACGAGGCATTCTGGTGTATTGTTTCTGGAGTTGTTTACTATAGTGGAAACCGGGTGGAAAGCAATGTTCTCTGTGGAGTGGATGAGCCTAAGGGCTTCCTGTGTTGATACCTCTGTAAAGTCCAACCATTTCCTGATGGCCTCATCCCCATCCAGGATAGCTGGCATCCTAAACATGGGAGGAGATGCAGAAATCTTAAGACCACATACAGAGACACAACTTATCCGCCATGTCGCAGGACTGAGTGATTTGGGTGAAAGCCAAACAAAGATCCAGAATTAACATAATCCAGATTCCAGCTATCTGGGGATTAACTGTGTTGGCAATAACTATTATCATGTTAAGAAATGGCTAGAAGGCACACAGACCTCATTTCTGAAGCCGTGGGGAAAGAACTAAGCAATACAATGTTTTTCTGTGAGGCAAACAGTGTGCTAACTTCACCAAAGCAGCCTGCTTCCCCAGAGGAGGCAAAGGGTCTGTCAATCACTAGGCAGCCCTATGAGCAATTTAATTCTTATTGCTACCAGCAAGGGGCCAAACACAGTGATTTATGGCAAGAGCAAGATTCAGTGACCTGAAACAAGTCAGTAATGTTCTAATGTACTTCTCTAAGGGGATCAGGTAGACAAAGCATGGAAGAATTTCTGGCCTGTGTGTTCTTGGCCACCAAGGCTATGTATGTAGGGGAATACAGTCACACTACCTGCTCCACACAGCACAGAAGTAAAGGGAAGGTTTTCTGCCACACACTCCCCACTAATCTCTGCCATCCTGAACTCTACCAGCCACAGCCAGTCATTCTCACTTGCCTGTTATGGATATCACTTAAGCCTTTAGAAGCATCTACTGTGATGATGGTGTAGGTGTACAATGCATCCCCTCCATCAGGGGGCTCCCAGCAATCAAAAATCCCAGCCATGGTGAGTAACCTCCAGCCTTTCCACTCTTCATCATCATCTTTCCCATCTGCCTGGAAAAGAAAGATACAGAATGATCACAATCTTTCCTAACCTCCTTCCTATGCTAGGTAATTTCAATACAAAGATATTTAAAGGCTATCTGATACCTCACAGAAAACACTGAAAACCAGTGTAGTTCAGCTACCCATGCCTCATTTGCTATTTTAATTAATATTCTCTATTTCTAGGGATGTTTACCCAAAAACTTTATTAGGAGCGTCATCTTACATTGATACTTTTCCCCCCTCAAAGTCAATATCCTCCACCTGTGCATTGTAAACTGTTACGTTGAAAATTATTGTGAGGTCACAGGAGAGAAAGGATAAGCAACAGTAGCAGATAAGATATTTCATATAACAGATTACATTTCCATGAAAAAATAAATAACAAGGGGAGAAAGCACAACAGGCCGAGAAGAGTGTCTGAGATTATTCAGAACTCTGTTCAGTGAAATTTTAGCAAGGGCCATTGACTTCAATGGGAGCACTTTGTGCTCAGCACTTCTCAGGATCAAGCCCTATATTAGAACAGTGATGGGAAGCACACTGTAGATCCAAAGGCCATGCACAGACTGCAGCTTTGGGTGTACAAACACACATTACAGCAACAGTTCCAAACACAAGAGAAGTTAATCTTTCTGCATTTCAGGACTTCAATATATAGGGGATGACTACGTGACTGCGGGACATCTTCCATCACCGCCAAAGCCCTCTTTCCACCTGCCTGGAAGTTAGGCCTCACCACACATTCAAGCTGCACTGTCTCCAATATCCTATGCCTGAACCTCAATCACGAACACAGCTGGAGTGAGCAGGAATTTACAAAATAAATAGTTTTTCTTCAGGAGAAGTGACAACTAATTAATATTTCTAAAGCCTTTTCCAACCAAAAAGTGCTATATTGCACTGCTGAGTATTAGAACAACATTGTTGCTGAGAATCCAGTACCATTTCTTGCTTGGGCTGTGGGAAGTAAATGAAATAGGGCTGCTTCTTTCCATTGTGCTGCTGCCATTCATAGAATCCATCTGCCAGCACTACACAGCGCCTGCCCTTTATCAGAGGTCCCTTTGGGAAGAGAAGATTTGACCATGTCACAAATCAAAGAAGATGGCAGCTTGGGAGGTATTAAAATAAAAGAAACATGTTTGTTGGGGTGGGAGAAGGAGGGGAGGACAAGGCCATGGCTGAAGTATAGGGAACACATTTCTTTATAACCCTTTTCGTATTCTATAACTGATCCTAAAAAGCATAGACATAAAAGCTGTAGATCCACACTGGGGTTCTGCTCACATAAAACTATGCTCTGCTATCAGGGTTTATGCCACCACTAAAGGCTCTTGAGGAAGTTAGAGCCTTATTATGTAGTTAATTACTGTATATGTGTCTTATACATAGTAATCTAGTAGTGTCCCCTAACCACCTAAGAATTAAAATGCATTAATACATGGTGGTGGCAGCATGAATACTCCACACTAGCACAAGATGGAAATCTAGTCATTCTATTCCGACTCATTTAGGAAGTTTAATTTAGTTTAAAATATGTCACTGTAGTAATGGGCACTCCGTCTACTCCCTTTTATTAATATCAATGGGAGATAGGCACCTAAGTCCCCACCCCACACCAAAATTAAGTTGTAGGTGTTCTGCAAGTAATACTCAGGGTAATTCTGAAAGTCTCTATTTCACTGAAGGTTATGAGCAGTAAGACAAAATAATCCTTCATGTTCTCACCTTCCGTCATTTAGAGCACGACAGAACCCCCTTTTATAGACTCCCACCAAACAATACACCCACCTTCCGGCTGAGGGGGGCCAGGATAAGTCTACCTATGGAGCTCTTTGTGCTGCTGCTCAATTGGCTTAACAGACAAGCTTTTTATTAATTTCAAGTAGTATTTTATTCCCATTCCCAAAGCTTTCTTTTTATAGAACCAATGCCTTTGTTTTCTCCAGTCTGAACTGTACTTGAACCAAACAGTGGGTTATCTGAAAGCCACCTGGTCAAATACAGCATACGAAAAGCTATCGTTTGTTGGGTTCTTCTATTTCAATGAAATAGAGATGCTAGGTTTTACAATGTGTCATTCAGAAGGATTTATTTTCTGTGCAACAGGGTGGTGGTGTCCAATTCTTGTTAGGAAGAGGTTTAGATCTCTAGTTTACAAGTCTTTAGTAGCACTGCTAGGAGCTGATGATTATAAAATCTTCCTTCTCTCAAGACTCATTAAATGCAGTAATATTGTAAACTTACCTTGTAGGAGAGTTTCTCCATCATGGTATCGCTGCGACAGTTGGATGTTTTATACTGCATTTTGGAAGGGTCAGCTTCTCTAAACCAGGCTGGGACCAGCCCCCAGCGCATAGCAGCGATGACACGCTCAGAAGAGTCAGCATCCTGTCACAGAAAATAGAAAAGCACCTCATGCCAGTACATGCAAGACAGGAGCAGACAGCAAATTACAAAGTAATCAGCGCATATTGTAGCTCTCTGCCTTCTCCATTATATAGTGGAGACTACAAACAGATCCCAGCAAACTCACTCACTACAACTAGTGGCAGAGAGCCTAACAAGAAAAGAGGAGCTTACAGATAACTTATTAAAGTAACATCTTATATTTTACGAAGAAAGGTTACTTTCTGACAAGAAAGAAACTTTTGGTTGCTGTTCTGCTAGTTACTTTTCTTTGCAATTCTATCACTTCTGTTTTGTATGGGTGTGAGAATATACTCTGTGCTGATACGTGACTGCAACCGAAAAATGATTCAAAAGTAATCAGTAATTATTACTCCTCTGAGAAAGTCATTGAAAATATGCAAGGGATTAATTTTCAGACCCAGCAATATGCAATAAGGCTATTTTAAAAAAAATATATAAACCCCACTGGTTATAAGGAACATTCACTATATAATACAATATTTGCGTATAATAGTAAATTTGCAATTTGTATTTAACTAGTACTATTCAGGGATCTTCTACTCTAAGCATAGTATACATTCTGTCCTACTAAAAAAAGTCCCAACAACATAGTCATCTTAGGGCCTTCCCCAATGCAGTGAATAATTATAAAAGGACACTGTTAGGTTCCTTATATTTTTTTATTTAAAAACAATCTTACAAACGTTACAAACAATAACTTTGTTTTAATAATCTGAGCATTTTTAAAGTCTAACTTACTTCCACTGTTCACATTTTTGCATTTTTTCTCAGCTTTGACAATGGAAACAGACTGTGGGTTTCACTTCTGCTTCTAGTCAAATTCACTTTCTGATTCTCAGGTGCTAGCCAAAAGCTGCAATGTTTGGGTGGCTAATACCACAGGGAAATGGTTTGTTAAAAAAAGTTCCCAATGAACAAAACTACACAGAAACATTTCTATTGGCCTTCAGTTTTGTAAAACCTTTCAAGCCTACAAGCAGAACAGAAAGCAGCAAAGAAAAGCACAAATCCAATTGTTTCTGCATCAACAATTGTAAATACAGTGTGTCACACTGTCCCCAAATAGTGAATAAGCATGGAAAGTAGTTTAATAAAGATGACTGGATGATCAGATGTTTGCCTGTGTTAATAGTTAGGTTGCTGGTATGCTTGAGACCACTACCTATCATACTGACCAATACCATCTCATTGTTTCCTTGTACTCCTCCGTCAGTCTGCCTACATCCATCTGTTGTCTCTGATCTTACACATTGATTGTAAGCTCATTGAGACAGGGACAATCTTTTTTGTTCTATGTTTGTATAGCGCCTAGAATAATGGGGTCCTGGTCCGTAAATGGGGCTCCTAAGCACTACAATAATACAAATAATAAATAGATATGTTTCAAGCACCATCTTTTTCTTCTTTGTGATCTCATCAGCTATTGCAGGAGAATTGTGGAATTTTGAGTATAGTATTTAAGCAGAAAGGTAAAGGAGGAAGTAGTTTTCAAATGCTGTGCAGCTGTATTGATGATAAAGTGTTAATATTTTTAAATTTCACCTTTAAACATTTCTGGTTCTACAAATCTAAGCAGTTGTAACAAATAACTAATTCCTGACATTTCAGCAGAACTTAGAACACCTTTTTACTGTAGAAGTGGGAACACATACGGAACTATTAATATGGCAAGCATATGTACTGAAAAGCCTGAAATGTCAGTATGAATTCCTGCAAAGCACATACTAGCAGTAGGAGTCTGGAGATACAGAACTAAAACTAAACTACTAAGTCTTGAAGAGGCTGCAAACTGTGATGCTCCAAAATATAAAGACGTTTATACCAAATTGGTCAAGTACAGTTGTGAAATATACAGTTACCCCCCTTCAAACTACTAGTCATTGTATACGATGCACCATAATGCATGCTGAGTAATTTGTTCTGCTTGAAGGTTACCTTCTCGAAGTGTCGTCGGGAAACCAGCACAGGGCTGTTGGACTGGGGACTCTTGTTGTAGGAGGGGCTGTATTTATCAGCATCTCTCCATTCAGGTTGTCTTGTTCTACCATGGTTATCACGGTACATACAGGCCCGGCGGATGCGATCTGCTCCCAGAGCGCAGGCCGTGCGCCCACACATTCTTCACAAGTTTCCTAAAGGAAGAAGACATTATATGCTGTGGAACAATGGCCTCAAATCTGACTTCAGGTGACAAAGCATGATCACATTTCTCCTTCACACTGGATACAAAAGGAGCAATTTACTATACATGCATGTCTTCCCCTAGGACTCAGCCTCTTGTCCACTCTATGGCAAGGTGTCAGGGGTTTATTATTTACAGAGCCCAAAAGTTTGCTGGATATTGTAAAAAAAGGCCCTAAGACTTTAATAATCTAAGGAAGCATACAATGAACAGATGAGAGAACAAGTGGCGAGTAACTGAAGTGTCATATTTAAAACACACCACATAGTTCCATGGGCTTTTTAATACTTGATGCCCCCAAACCTTTTCCTCCATCTATGATGTTAACACTTCTTTCAGTGGGATGACTAAGGATTGCAGTTGAGTAACACTCAGTGGAGCTGGGAGGCCACATGCTCAAAGCTATCTTTAATTGTTACATGATGCTCAGATAGAAGGAATAGGTGCCTTGGGGAAAAAAAAAAGATGGATTGTTGTTGCTGCCCACTATATCCACTGAAACAGACCCCCGGACACAGGCTGGGGGAGCCCTTTGTTCCCCTGTATTTACTTTAACCATACATTTAAATCTACAGGAATCAGAAGTCAGGGGAGGCCCCAAGCAGCACAGCTCTGGGAAAGGGAGAGTGGGAACTGCTACTCTGGATCACTGGTTGTTGGACTGAGGTCTTTCACTATGAGAGTGATTTGAGGGCCTGGTGGAGTATGGAAAAGGGGGTCCCCTGCCCAGACAGAGAGGGGGTTGGGGATTCCTGCTCAGGGGACTGAGAGGGGCTGTTGGTGGGGAGAGGGGGAATTGTAGGGGGTTCCTGGCAGGGAAGGGGGCTGCAGGGCTCCTTGCCGGAGAGCTGTGGGGGTTCCTGGTGGGGGAGAAAGGGGCGGGGAGAGCTCCCTGCCAGGGGAGAAGGGTGCAGGGCTCCCCGCCCAGGGACTGAGGGGGTTTCCGTGGGGGGGCAGAGGGGCTGTGGGGGGGGTTCCTGCCCAGGGACTGCGGGGGGCTCCGGTGGGGGGCAGAGGGCTGTGGGGGGGGTCCTGCCCAGGGACTGCGGGGGGCTCTGGGGGGGGGGCGAGCGCC